GAGTTCCTGCCCTCCTGAGGGGCCTGTGCCCTCGGAGGTAATTTTCCCAGGTGTCACACATTTCCAGTTAATCTGCTGCTCAAATTGGCTCCTAATCTGTCTCTGAAGAACCTGCTGGGGTGGGTGTGGGGGTGGTGGGGTATGATCTCTGTGACAGCAGTAGAGGAGCTGCATCTCAAAAGCCGAGCTAAGAGACTTACTCTGAGCAGTCACTTCCCCATTGTCCCCTGTCTGCACAAATACAACTTGACGTGTGTGGGACATCTGAGGTCCAGCACGGTTTAGAGTCGCTGGGTGAATAAACCAAAATGGAATGTGATTTTTGGTGTAAAATGTGATCTTTGATTGGGTTATTCTTATTGCTATGTGTGTCTGTTTACCTTAAGCAGGAGGGCGACTTTCTAGAACTTTGAGAGAGTTGTGGTCTGTCACCTTGTAGTTCATTAGTGGTCACCCTCACTGGGTTACTAGGCACCTTGTGGAGCCACTGGGTGTCACAGACCTGCTAATTGCACCAGACAGGGAAACCCAGAGGGGGAAATGAATATCTTATTTGTGTGCCAGTGTGTATGTGTGTGCAGGGTGAAGCAAATGCCATTGTTTAATAGCCTTCACACAAGCTTGATTGAATTAGTCGATGAGGAGGACTGTGTCCCTAATTGAATTGCAGAGACCCTGTGTTGCAAACAGAGCAGGCTAGTGTTCCCCATGGAAGTGCTGAGGCAGAATGGAGGGGGGAGTGCGGGGGTGTGAGCAGCAAAAAGGGGTGGCAAACCGCCTTGTCCTTGCTTGTTAGAAAAGACAGACAACTCAAGGCTGCTCCTCTCTGGTTCATCTGTGACCGTGACTGGCTTTTCATAAGGGCAGCCCAGGTCGGCTGTGACAAGTTCAAAGGCTGAGGCCCTGCAGTTGTGCTTGTAGAATAGTGAGGTCCATATGAAAACGTCTCCAAGGATGAACAGCTTCTTTTCATTTACTATTTTTTTTCCCTTTTTCAACACAATGTTGACTTTAGAAAAAGCTTCTTTTGATAACGTTCAGCAACAACTGACGACAGCAGCAACACAACAAATAGGTGTTCACAGTTTTTTTGAGTCACAGTTTTTTGCCTTGTGGTCATACAATGGCACAATGGGACACACATATACGTAATTTTTCTGACACTGCTCATTTTCACTTCTTTGAGCAATTGCTCCTGCACTCAAAACCTCACACTTTCACATTTGATTTTTTTTCCGACCTATCCAGTCCCTTCTCTTCACATCCTGAACACCACACACACACATGTACACACACCATGTCTTTCTTTGTCTTCCTGATCTGTTCTTTAATGATGTGTTCATTAAATACAGCAGGTGGGGGAGGGTGAATTGGATCCTTAAAAAGAAGCGGAGGGGAAATGGGCCAAAGTGGAGGGTGTGATGTCCCAGACTGGTGGACAAAGACTCTTTCTGGTCGAAAAAGCCTGGAGGGTGGGGGCTATTTTTTAACATCTCTGGCTGGATTGTCAGATAGGGTCCAGATGATTGTCTTCTAGTGTGTCTATGTTTGGTCACTCTTTGTGTCCTCTGTGTGTTTGCTGCTTCAGAGAGGGGAGTCAAATTGATTGAGAGNGTGAGAGTGTTTTCAGCGGGAACGGTCACACTGGCGTAGCCTCCTAAACAAAATGCTTCTACCTTTCATGCTACCGTTCTCCTCTGTTTTCTCTCATTCCTCCCTTCTCTTCTCTCAGCAACATAAATACCCACACTGTCAAACCTGCATTTTTTACATTTCAGGTGTTTTCAGCTGCAGGTCTGTGCCTCAGTCTGCTGTAAATCTTAACATCTGTTCCACTGGAGAAATCTTCGAAACATCCAGCGAATTACCTGCTCTGAAATATGGTGATGGTGCCTCATATTGTCATTGTAATTTTTAAAGGCCTAATTAAAGATTTTATGTTACTGTGAATATTTAAAAGTGATAAACAAGGAAGACCGAGCAGCTGCTGAGGAACGCTTGTGCTGGGATGTTGGTTATCATTCAGTGCTGGTTAAACTAATACGTGAGTAGAAGTGTGAGTTCACATTCCTGTTGTGTCTCTGGAACCAATTTGAGGTGATCTGGCCCTTTTGACACAGCTACACATCAAATTGAGTTTGAAGTGTTTATAAATTCCCAAAGCTTTTATGTGACTTTTTTTTTGCTTTTAGCCACATTTCCATGTCTGTCACATTTCCAGACACTGCATTTAAATCCCCAGAGATCTGCTGCTAAAACGTAGCTCCTTTGTTGGATTACATTAATGATATTAATAGTAAGAGCCAAAAGAAAAAGGAAACACACACAAAAAAAACGTCTCCTAGCTTTGATATGTTAAATCAGACTGCCAGGCTGTTGATCAAAAAGCTCAACAGCAGCAATCAAGAGAGGCAGGTTGGTGAGGATTTAAAACTCTGATCTGTTTTTTAATCACAGCCTACGTTGTGTCTGTGTCTTTACATCTGGGACCAGACAACGTCTCACTTCCTAAAATCTCTCATCTGGGCATGAACTGGAAATTCCCCAAATATTTCCACCCAAAATAATGAACGTGGTGATGTAGGAGGGCATGCTAAGACACATTTTACTGCACATCACTGAGAAAACCAAGATGTGGAACCAAATATATCCACTGTTTATAAGCTATTTAATTTTCTAATGTTTGGCGTGGAAAATTAAATTTTAATTATTCATCTGAACATCAAAAAAATAATTTTAATTATTAAATTATAAAAATAATTTTAATTATTCATCTGAACATCAAATTATAAAAAAAAACCCACCATGCTGACATTAGACATACAAACGTATTTTCTTTTTTTTTCTCTCTGAAATAAACACTAACATGAAACAAACCACAAAGCTACAAGCTTTACATCTGCTTTCACCTTGTATATTAATACATCAGTGTTCTAAAACATGGGTTCGCAAATTGCAGCTGTCAAACAAGGTGCATTTAGGTACCATCAGAAACCTGAGAATCCAAATTTGGCGGCAGTTTACGTGTTGTACAGATCAATACAAATGTTTAGAGAAAAAAAACATTTCTTTTCTTAACTTGGAAAATGACTGTTCTAAAACGTAGAATTTTCAACACAATATTCAGTGAGAGCTAATGTACCTCATCCTGAGAATGTGGCTCAATGGTTTGTTTTTCAAAGAGACATCTGCAAACTTTCCTTCAGGTCACTTTCTGTACGAAGACTTGGCCTTCTGTTTATTTCTGTCATTTCATTTCTTTTCAGCTGATAAAAAACCTATTATCCTACCATCGAAAACCCAAATATTTATGCGTACCGCCACTGAAATGAGGCTGTGTGTGGCTTTTAAAGCTCTTATTAATAAAATATTTCATGGTTTCTTTTAGGGCAGACTTTAAAGCCATTGTCCTGGTTGTTAAGCCCAGTCCACATACTGATGCGGTGCATACATTCACTGCAGGCGCAGTAACACACTGAATAACTGGGCTGCTAAAAAAAAAAAACCTCTCTATCACAGCTCTTCACCGCCTCTTCCCCCACTTGTCTCTTTGTTTCCGTCTTTACACCCACCACCCCCTACAGACCCCCTCCCCAATTCCCTCTTTGAGCGGCTCCTCTTTGGTGTCGCTACTCAGTGCCGAACTCCCAAAGACCTCACTGTGCCGCGGAGCTGCAGCTCTAACTCTCGTTCCTGTTGCCTGGGCCTCATTCACAGTCAGTGTTGACTGGCAGCGTGAATGTCCAGGCCTCATGTTTCCCCCCGTACCCACAACATTTTCTCGCATCAATCATGGGTAAAGAAAAGCATGCCAGAGCTAATGCTAGTGTGCGGATATCAGAGATTTATTTGCCTTTAATCACTCTCTGTGCAGCACTGTTGCTGCTGTGTAAACTCCTAGTGCATGCAGAAGAGCTCGACATTCATAGAGGAATGTGTGGCTTCTGTACTCAGTACCAATCAATACTACTGAGTATTGCCTTTTTGGTTTTGTTTTGGAGTGTTCCTAAAAAAACCCTCCAAAAGCCAGACCTCAGGGCTTCACACTTCTGAGATGCAGTGCATCTTTGGTTAGAATTTTTCATGTTGCTACACTTCCAAAACTTTTTTTTTTTTTTAAATCTGGGGAGCAGGTGGGAGCTGAATAACCCGAAGCAAAAATATTGCTGGTTTGAGCCAAGATAGAAGAAACTGCTCCTGACATGGTGCAGTTATAAATGTTGGAAAGGAGAGTATTTTTAATAGTGAAGTTTCTGGTCTTGAATATGACTCACAGACAGACAGACAGCTAGAATAGTTTGTTTTTCACCGCATTGACTCAGTATGGCTCACATACACTGGGGGTAATGGCATCTGCAGCTGGAGTTCATCTCTGTCTTACCTTCCTCCCAGGTCTTTCAGAGGGAGCCCCTCGTAAAGCGCTCTTAAGGGAAAGCAGGGCACTTCAGAGATTTCTCAGGCAACTGGAGCACGTTGAATAATTCAGAGAAAACTTGCTGCTTGCAGATATGTCACCATATCTGCAGAGATCTTCACATGCAAGAATTCAATGCCTTGTATTCATACCTGGTGTTCGGTTGTGCAAATGTGTGTTGTCCACATGCCAGACCTGTGTGTGTTTATGTTTGATGTTTGGCCTCCTCTACCATGACGGTATATCTCACAGGTCAAACTGTCAAAATCTCTATCTGAAAATGAATTTAATAATCTCAAAAGGTGAGGTCATTCATTTGAAAATGCAGTAATACTTGAACTACAGTATTACTGCATCAGATACAAATGCACTGCCAAACAGACAGACAGCTAGAATAGTTTGTTTTTCACCGCATTTAAAAAAAATATAAAGCATTTAAAAAAATATCTATCTATCTATCCATCCATCCATCCATCCATCCATCTAATCACGATTAATCTATAGCTACATGGTGATTAATCAGATTATGTGTTCATTGTTTTACATTCCTGCCATTTACAATTATTTTCCCTCCTCTGTTTTTCAGCCTGTCCTTCAGGCTTTTTTAAGCCGACCCAAGGAGACGAGCCCTGTCTGCAGTGTCCCATCAACAGCCGAACCACCAGCGAGGGCGCCATCAACTGCGTGTGTCGCAACGGATTCTATCGCACAGACTCCGACCCACTCCAGATGCCATGCACAAGTATGTGTGGTTGTAATGTGGCTGTAATTGAATTTTAACTTTCTCACTTCACAGACTCTTTGACATATGAACCTCTTCTAGCCTCCAGCAGGAGCCCAGTGAACAAAAGCAGTCATAGTCTGAAAGTTTAAACACAGACACCCCATCGGAGCCTTCCTCAACAATAACACATCCATGACATGCCCATGGTGTCTGTCCCGTGATCTGACCCAACACACAAGACTGGGCTTGGATGCGGCCCCAACCCCATGCCCCCCGCCTCAACATCACACAGCCTGTACTCCAGGCCAGTGCAGAGGTTACTGGGCCAGGGCGCGTAGCTTTGTGATGGGGCAGGAATGGAGAATGAGCCCAGACAGGACTCTCTTGTCATGCCAATAAAGCTGTTTGAATTTTAATTTGAGGCCGACACCAAGGTTGAGATCTATAAAAAAAAAGAAAAAGAGACACACAGGGATCAACAAAAGCACAAGTGAGAAAGAGAACAAGGGGGTGGAGGTGGAGATGGAAAGACCCTTAGGAATGATAGAGAGAGGGAATTTGAGAGTTGGGGGAAAAGCGGTTATGTGTGTGCAAGAAAACACAGACTACATGTATAGAGTGTGGTCTTAATAAAACAAAGTGGGTGAGTGAGGAAAGAAGCTCCATTCAACACTCGGGGAGTGTGTCTCCTTTTTCTTTACTCTCCCTCTCTGAAGGCAGGAGAGGAGGGGAAAATTTGATGGCTACAAACAAAGGGGATTTGCATAAGCAAGACTCTGGGAGTCCGGCAGCTGTTGTGAATAAGAAGGCATCAGCATCACGTCACCCATATTAAGTGCAGCAGGGCCGAGCCTGTTTAGAGCATTCCTGTCGCTAATGGGGGAGTATTAGTCCTCCCCATGAAGGAGATGCAAAGGAGGCCACTCCAATGGGCTTCCTTCCAGAGCCGGATGTGTGTTAACTGCTGCCCATTGGAAAAAGGTTAAATAAGTGGTTATCAATTCAGATGTAGGATGCAGTGGGTGGAGTGGAATCTCATTAGTCCTGGAGGAGGTGTCTTTTCAAAATCAGCTGCACATGACTGTAAAAGATAAACACTCGTCATTGTTTGTTTGTTTTGCCTGTCACTTTCCATGCAGCGCCCTCTGGAAGTTTTCCACCATTTAAAGCCAAGCTGCTAACAGGGCTTTCCTCGGGGACACAGGAGCCTGCCAGGAGAATAAAGAAGCCAAATAGGGAGTTCCTTGGGGGACCAGAGACATGTCCCACCCCAGGCTAATATAAACTAGCTGAACTTCTAGCTGAACAGATGGACGTTTTACTGAACAACCATAACATTTTTCTGTTCTAGTTAAGGCTGGGACATATTAAACAGCCTGCAGTAAAAAATGGAGCTTTAACACATTGGAATCTGATCAATAGGGAGACGTGTCCTGATGTACACACACACAAACAAAACTTTTTTCATTTCTGTCAAACGCAGCATATATAAAAATAAACCCCTTCAAATCTGCCCCAAATAAACCTTGAAAGCCGGGGTAAAAAAAGATCCAGGAGCCTGTTGTGTTTGTGCAGTACACACACTTTATGGTGAAACATGCGTTAGCAACTTTCACTGCAAACAACAGCATTAAGTAAAAATCCTCCTTCTACATACAGATGACAGGTCTCTGTACACACAGCTCCGTTTTCTGAATTTCTATGAACGCGCTACATGTCACAGCGTGCTCAGCCTACAGTCATGACCTAAAAAAATGATTAATGAACATAAAATAATGTTTTTCACATGTAGCACTTATCATCAAAATAAAATAAAAAAAGTATTTAATTGATTTCTGTAAGATTTGCAGTTTTGAGGAGCCAGCTTCGGGCCAGCATAGGTACTGCAGCCAGGTGTGATTCCTGAGTTTCTTTAAAAAAATGTTCGCTGTTACATAATACTGTTCTGTAGTCTATCAATCAATATTGATCTACATATATACTCATACTGCGTTACACATTTGTGTACTACAAGGAGTTACTACTTGTAGGTTAGATGACAAACGACAAGTGTGTTAACTTTCTTATAACACTAGACTTAAATATAATGTAATATAGAATTTTAGATTAGAATAGATGATTGGAAAACAGCTGATAAAATCACTGACATGGAAAATGAGCATTAACCAATCAGCTTTCAGAGAGAAACCTGGGTCTTCAGTAATGACTGCTCTCACCCAGATCACATGATTCAGAGCCATGTTTGCGCTGCTATATAAATATTTTAAAATTAGAAATAATGAGTTATTAACTTTATATATGTAATGATCAGCCTCTAACCAAAGAAACTGAGTTAATGGGAGAAAATTAGGCCGTGGAATGAAGGAAGGAGTGACCTTAATTATTCAGTTTTGCCACCAGGCCTGTTTTAATCAGGACAACATTTGGCTCCAAACTTAAGTACTATTTAATGTACCAAGTCTTACAACCCTAGCTATTTTTACTGGAACGAGTATAATTTGAGACCCAGAATTCTCACGTTGTTGCTACGAATTTCCCAAGTTAAAAAAAAACTTTGACCTTCCATTATGGTAATAAATAAAAGTGTCATTTTTTTTTGGTTTTCCACAGACTTAAATCTTATAACAAATGCTGTTTTAGACAAATAGTTCATCACTACTATCTCCAACTGCCAATATAGAAAATATTTACACAGGACTAATTGAAGGCAGTACTGGATAAAGTTTTACCTCTCGGCCATGACCTAACTAAAGTTGTGTGTGGTCGATCACGCCGCTGCTAATCTGCTGCCTATCACACCTGTGTTGTGCAAGAGAGGAGAATGTCAGCAGCGATACGCTGTTTGGCTGCTCTTTTTGACAAGAGTTTACCTTTGAAAATGTCACTGAACTCAACTAAATACCATAGCTGCAAAAAAGCTTCTGCATATTTAACAACACTAAACCAAAATGGCAGGAGTGCATCTGCTATAAAACAAGTTAAGAAGGTGTTCTGTTGGTGAGACGTGTGACCGGTATGGACAGAAATCTGCAGCTAAAGATCATTTTCGCCATCTGTCTGACAGATTGTTTGCTATAAAAATAGACTTTTCTACCCGCAAAAAAACGTGTAGGTCGCAGTTACCATCAGTTAGCATTTAGGCCTGATGGCAAGAAGGGTGTTTTTCTGATGCAAACAAGATGCACATCCAACAAACATTCTTTCTTTGTTCCAAAATCAAAAGTCACTGGAACATTCCAAAGGTTAGTGATCTCACTCATACCTAAGTCATTCGGTCATTTATTATTTTTTTTTTTTTTTCTTTCAGCTGTTCCCTCGGCTCCACAGAATGTCATCTCCAGTGTAAATGAAACCTCTGTGATGCTGGATTGGATGCCCCCTCGGGACTCAGGGGGCCGGGAGGATGTCGTTTTTAACATCATCTGCAAGAGCTGCGGTGGAGGACGGGGAGGCTGCACCCGCTGCGGGGACAATGTTCAGTTTTTGCCCCGTCAGCTGGGCCTGACAGAGCCCCGGGTCTATATCAGTGACCTGCTGGCCCACACGCAGTACACGTTCGAGGTGCAGGCTGTCAACGGGGTGTCAGATCAGAGCCCATACTCCCCTCAGTATTCTTCAGTCAACATTACCACTAACCAGGCCGGTAAGTGGCTCCATCTGTCTCTCTCTCACTCTCTCTCTCTCTCACTCTCTGGACACTACACACTCTAAACTACACACTCTACTTTACACTACACTTTCTACACAGCACTTTATTGCCCATGTGTTTTCTCTCCTCATCTCTCCTCTCCTTTCCTTTACTTTCCTGGCCGTTCCTGTCCTGTCATCTCCTCTCCTCCCCAGCCCCCCTCCCCTGCCACTCCTGTCCCACACAGTAATTCTCTGTTGCTCTCCTGCCTCCATATGAGGACATAATTCCCAGTTCACGGCCCTCCACTGAGTCAACTCCGTCCCTCTCCTGTATGGAGATGTATGCAGATGAAGGACTCTGAAATATGAAGGAGAGTGTCGCTGATGACGCGTCAGACAGAATGTGCTGCCCTGCCGGTCCTCACTCAGTGACCTCATCATGATGTTTTTCAGACTGTGGAGTTGAGAGCTGGCTTGCTGCTGTCTCCCCACTCCAGTTAATGTTCAGTGATTACTGCACTCATCCACCCACTTGGTTGTGGTGTAATATTAAAAAAACACACACAGCATGTGTGTGTGCGCAGGAAGAGTAATATTGCGTATTGTGAGACATAATGATGGTTTTTGGCTGGAAACACATGTAAATATATCTTTTCGTTTTCCCTCTGAAGTCACTGGAGCCCCTGCTTTCTTCACTACTTGATTGCAGTTGAGGTCGGTCTCATCTCTGATTATTTGACTGAGGCAGCAGCATTTATTTGTCTTTAACTGTCTTTGTGCATCACATCAGTGGATGTGCCAAGCTTCGCTCCCCCAGCACCGAAGAATTGGGGGGGGGGGCAGTGTTATCTGTGCTCGTTATAAACATGAAGCCAGTTCCTGTGAGGGGACTTTGATTGACATCATTTATTATCAACTCTCACATACACATGTGAAACACCTACACAGTCTAATACCACAGGGTAGAGGAATAACGCACACAATTAAACATGCTTCTGCTACAGTCTACAGTTGTGCGTAATAAATAATAAATGGTGTCCACTCATGCAGCGCTCCTCCAGTCCTGATGACCACTCAAAGGGCTTTACACCCCATCAGTAACACTCCATCTACTGGTAGTGCCAGAGCGCTAGCATGAGGACCTGGTGTATGGAATGCAAAAAAAGAGTCCTCCATTAAGTAATATTATTGTTAATATCATAAAGTCCTCCATAAAATTTTTAAACTTAGCAAACCTGAGCTTTGTGATCCTCTGTAGGTTTAGGCAAATATAGCGGCTCAGCCAAACTATGGTTCGCGTGAAACACATTTTTTGTATCTGTGTATTTATTAGATTACTAGTGACGATACATTTTCCAGCAGGAGCTGTATTAACTGCTAAGGTTAAGACCTTAACTTTAACATAGTTCTCTGTGAATTAAATTATAACACTCAAGGCATATAGGTGTCAGTACTAGTCTAGTACTATTACGTATGACTTTAATTTACACTAAAAACCAAAGACTAATGTGTTTTCTTCAAGAGCCACCTGTTGGTTTTAACAACCTCACATTTTGCATTGCATCAACCAGTCAGTCCCCTTAATTTCTGACATTTTATTAATAAATTATTTGTTTCGTTAATGGAGCTGAGGAGACCAGAGACACAGGGTGATTCTGACGGAGTCAGACCCTCCGGTATCTGCAGCAGCAGCAGCAGCAGTGTCACCTCAAAATGATGGTCTGGACAACAGAGCTGACTGCAGTGATGCTGCAGTGTTTGTTATATTAGTCTATGGAATGTGTCCACAGTGTGATAAATATTTTATTGGAGACCAACCCAAACAAACAGAGTGAAAATAGATTGGAACTGTCAAAATGTGGAGCTGAAAAGCAAATTATAAAGCTTGGCTATTGTTGTAAAAATTACAACCCACTTCTGCCTGCACTTTGTCAGAATTCGTTGTTCATTTCTTATATTTGACATCCAGGTAGAAAAGAAACAACCCACCCCCTGTTTTCAAATGTTGTTTGCTCACAATATATATATATATATAAGGGTTGAAAAAAGTGCTTGAATTGTTTGAGGTTGACCTGGAAAATATATGCAAATCTTGAAAATGGAGACGAATGCACTGCACTGCAGAGCACAATTCCATTCATCTCGCACCAAAATAAATAATTTTATCTTTTATAATTTTAGAAGCATTTACGAAGCAGTTGTTTCGCAAAATCAGGGCAACCATAAGAGTAGGGCCGCCATAGCTTTGGATTTCTTTTCTCCGATGGGCTACTGACGTGAAGGTCAGAACAGATTTAAATATAAAGTCATGAGCCGGGTGGATGCTTTGAAAAGGAAATGTCTCCTCTTCAGTTGACCTCGTGTTACAAACGGTTCACAAAAATCTGTTTGTCTTTAAGTCATAAAACAGGAGGCTTCAATGCTGAAGCTCTAAATCTCTGCTTTATTCAAACGCTGACCCCTTTTTATTGTCTGTTTTGATTTGAGTCGCGGTGTGGTGGGTTAATGAGGGCCTACGAGTGCAGTTAAGCGTTGTAATGAGGCCCCTGCCCCACTATTTCTCACTGGGCCACAATGAGTCCACCTCACCAGCCCCTGGCTCCTCTGCTTCCCCTACCGTGGGGTCTGGCGGAAACAGAGGGAATCTGCGTCCTCTCCACTGAAGAGCCTGTCACTTTGGATTAGACGGAGAGAGTTCCTGTCAGATGGAGCTGTGAAAAGAACACAACTCTGTGTTTGCCTCACTCCACCCCTCCCCACCCCCCCATCCCATCACCCTGGAAAACCAGGCATGCTCCTGGGACACGGAATAGCAGTTTTGTGGTGCCATTCTGCAGGGTCAGGGTCACGGGGACCAGGAGCCCATAATTGCATCTGGTTTGCGAGGCTTGGAGGTTACATAAACATCATGTCAGCCCTAATTACCTCAGGCAGCTCCGAACCTCCCCGTTACGCTGAGAATGAGAGCAGGAGATAGAGGAAAACAAAAACTTATGTAGGAACTCCTTTCGACAGATGTGTCTTAATTAGACCTCTAGTGAGCACTCTCTGGCTCAGGAGCTTTCTGTTACAGCAACGAATACATCATTTGAAAGTGAGTGCCATGGAAATGTTTCATTTCTGGTGCAGATTGCTCGTATCCTCAGCCATGATTTGTCACTCTCCATATGGAAGCGAGTAGCTGGTACACTCTGTCCCCCTTCTCCACCCACCCTGTAGGTGGTTGGCGACAGTTCCTCTGTGATAAAGGCGTGATTGCCCTGAAAAGTGCAGTGCTTGATTACACACTGTAATCCCACAAAAAAGGAGATGGCGTGCTGAATGGTATTTAAGCTCATTTTATAAGCAAATGACTAATTCCTGTACTCGTAGAATTGTGTAGAAAACTCAAAAAGCTGGAAAGACGCCCACAGGCTCCACCGTAAAAACACAGGCAGGCTCTCGTCTTCGTGCCCTTCGGTTTGCCTATAAAAGTTCCCCTTTGTGTGGCATAAATGGGCAAAAGATGGAGTGATGTTGTCTGTCAGACACCAATGAAGGAAACCTCTGGGTGTGTGTGACTGTTTTCCAGTGATTAAACTGGGTCTGAGGGTGAGAATGTGGTTACAGAGAGAAACCAGTCACGCTCACTGGTGTACCACCAGAGGAAGAGGCTGAATGTAATGTAATAAAAGCACCGTATTTGTTGTTGATGTAGTCTGGTTTATTTTCAGTTGCTATCATCATTCAGCTGCTGTAACAACACACAAAAAAGCACAAAATCTGTTGTTGTTATTGCGTTAATTTGTGAAGATTGATCAGATTAGAATTTGAATGCATTTTAACTCATGGGAAAAATTCAATGATTCCACCCTATTCTCTTAATGTTGCTCTTTTACACAGTTCATACCCGAAGTTTTGTTTCACTGAAGCACCTCGAGCTTAAAAGACCTTAGCTAAGGCTCAGCAGAGGTTTGACCTTCTGACCGACATGATTGTCAAGTGGATTGTCAAGGACCGTAGACTGATTAAGACAGTTGAAAACAATGGCTTCATTGAACTTTTCAAAGTTGCAACTTCCCACACATCACCGCCAAGATGAAATTTGCAGTCATAGTTTAGCAAATAGCTAGCAGAGCTAACTTTCAGTTTATCAGATTAAAGGGTTTGGTCTTTAGCTTTCTCTTATCATCTACAAAACAAAATACCCTTCTTTCAGAGAACTAGTGATTGTGTTAAAAGGGAAATGTATGTTAATGAGAAATAAATGGACGTGTGGCAAAGTGCCATCAGAAGAAGAAAGAAAGTTGGAACGGGTTCAAAGACAAACTGACCATAAACAGGACGGCATTAGTCTAGATTAATAACAAAAGTGTGGAAAACGTACCAACCGTCTCCTTTAAGGTCAGGATTATTTGCACACAAAAGACCTCTTTAACAAGAGGGAGGAAGGAGGAGGAGGAGGAGGAAGAGGAGATAAGATAGGAGTCTAAGCCCCTCTGCAATTTGCAGCCCGTTCCTTTCAAGGTGAAGTATGTGAGTGCTTGACTTCTAGTGTCGAGGTCCTTCCGAGTTCTTTTCTCCAGTTGCACATGAACGGGGAACAATGATTTAAACATGTGTTTTACTTCTGCTTGTGCAGTCCAAATGAAAACACTTGGATCGAGTCCCAACTTTGACTGCAGGCCAAAACATGCGAACTGCCAATGGGCTTTTATATTTCTATCAAATATAGGAAATGAATAATAGAGAGATATAACATCATTAGGAAAAAAGGGAGGCCGCACCGAGTGCATGGACTGTGAGAGGTTAACTGGCCATCAAGAACACTGGGGCAAATCCCAGTAGACTGCAGCATCTGTGGGCCAACAGACAGAAACGCTGGCTGACTCTTAAATAATTCTGTTCTGTGTGCGGCGTGGGTGTGTGTGTGGTGTAGCTATCATTTTTTTTGAAAGTACTAGTGTTGTGGGGACACTTTGTCTTTGTGGAGACATTTGCAGTTTTCACAGTGAGTGAGAGTTCAGATTTAGT